TGCTGGGAGTGAAACACTATTAGGAGAAGTTATCTATAGGGCTTGTGCCGTGGAGATAGCAAATAAGAAGTTGAGTGTAGATCTAATAGGGTAGACACAGAGGATTTTGATGTAATTTTAGGGATGGATTGCCTAGCGGCGTATCACACCACCATAGATTGCTTTAACAAGAAGGTTGTATTTAATCCTACTAATGAGGAGCCATTTACAAATTAATAAAATTATTTGATACTTATTCCTTGATGGAAAGTTTCTTTAATTTTCAAGTACTTTAACCTTGCTATTTTCTTTAACTAGGCAAGCCCAAGAAGGAAATTTGTATCTAAGAGATTGTGGTAGTCCAAGACTTTCTAGATGTGTTTCCGGACGAACTGCCCGGGCTGCCAGTGGACAGGGAAGTTGAGTTCACTATAGACCTACAACCTGGCACCCAACTCTTTTTAGTTGCTCCTTACCGCATGAGCCGCGTTGAGATGGAAGAGCTGAGGAAACAAATCACTGAATTGCAAGATAGTGATTTTATTAGACATAGTGTGTCTCATTGGGGTGCTGGAGTCACGTTTTTACAAACCACCCAACTAACCATATCATCTATTTGGAAGTGATCCAAACAAGATAAACTCAGTGAATTATCATACCGCACATTAATGGTCTATCAACCAAATATAGTATAAACATCAAATGCAGTATAGAGACCACAACTAGTTATGATATCTTTGAATAATTATGATACTTCAATTATCATTTCGGAAAACTAAATAATGTATGAACTTTATATACATGTTCAGGGCATCTATTATCAATAACTCGACTTTAGTTTTAGAAATATATTATTGTCGAACTCTATTTACAAGCTCAAGTCACTCATTACAAATTATTTAAAAAATATTAATTTTTAATTTTTTGAGATTAATTGTTTATGACTCTCAAGTGGAAAGTATAATAAAAAAGTCACCAATTCAAAGAAAGATGAATTATGAAAGACTTTTCTTTAGCATTTTACTCATATGCCTAAGTAAGAAATATAATAAAAACAATAAATCATATGTGACAAAAAGTAAATATGAAATATTGGATCAATGATTAATGACTTTGGGAGAAAATTTCACAATAATAAACTTATAAATATTTTCGTTTATCAAAAAAGGAAAAAAAATAAGAGCATATAGTATTAATGTCTATTGAGACAAGTGAACATAGTGTCGCAATAATTTATATAAAGAAAAGCATGAAAATCTACAGGAGCCTCGTACAACATCGAGCTATCTAGGGAAGTGTAATGAGCTCAATTGGCTAGACGATTCATGCAAGCATTGCCCTTATGGTGAATATGGAGAGTTAGATATCCCAATCTAGATAGAAGATATTTATAATCTAATTCTCCACACTAGTGTGAACATGGTGGTTAGGTTGGAGTAGGTGTTTGATTTGGAGGGAGTTCACATTGACAATGGGCTTTTTAATATCAACATTCCAAATGAGTTTTAAGCCTTATAAGACACCATGAAACTCGTCAGATAGGACTTTAGTGTGACCTAAATTGCTCATGGAGGCTGTCACCCAGTTTTTATCGTTATCTTTCATGAAGACGCTAGCAGTCATAAGACCAAGGTTATCAAAAGCAAAAATATTAGTGTTCAGTTTATATCACTCAGGATGAGGGGCCATCCAACCCACTTAAGGATATATGGATTGGTTATCAAGATTCGTCTAACGATGATGGAGCAAGGTTTCGTAGAATTCAAGAGCCATAATAATGATATTCATAGTAGATGAGATGATGATATAGTCCACATTCTCGAAAATAGTTTCATTTATTATCTTCCATAAGAGCCAAGTCGCAGTAGGAAAGATCACCTTCTAGTTTGCATATCATATGTACTCATATTGGTGTTGAGATTCCATTTCATCAACATTTAAATAAAAAAGATAATTTTTTTTTAGTATATCTATTATTATTTAAATATCTGTATACCTATGCTACGAGTGGGCCATCTCTAATGACATGTAAGCCATTTCCACAACCAAAGTGGCATCCTTAGTAATGGTCATCCTCAGTTAGGTGTCTATGATTTCTTTCAACATTGGTAGTGAGACGATTAAAACAATAATCTGCATGAAATATCAGATCTTCTTAGGGGCTGGGAACGACCAAATAATTTTCCAATGAGACTTAATCATGGGTTAAGATGCAGCCATAGTTTAGAATAAATAGATCGAACTACGAAAGGCCTATAATTAGAATGAGGCCCTATAGCTTCATCTAAAGTGTTGGGATATACATAAAAGTGTACGATATCTAAATAGGTGGTTTGTAAGAGAAGGTTAACAAATTTGTTCCACTTCTAAAAGTCATCCAAGTTGGCATATGAGGCCATCATATGATTTAAACAATCCCTTATAATTGAGGTCTGTAAATAAGTCTATAACCCTCCATATGGGAGTGAAACATGTGGGTTCTTTTAAGATAGTCAATAGACCCACCAATTTGGTCAATATGGGTAGTAATATCATTAAAATCACTTTTAAGAATTTAGAGGATAAAGATAGTAGGAGTTTTTTTTTAGGTGATTCCACAACTTAATTCTAACGACTTCACGTGGGCTAGTATAAATTGTAGTAGACATCCACTTGAAATTATTATAAATAATTCTATAATGTATGTACTGTTTCAGGGTTCGTAGGATCTTAAGATTTTAGTGACTATGCAAAAAGACTCAAGTACTACCTGAGATACCAAAGGCTTTCACGTGTAGATAACTAAAAAGCCTAAATTTATTGATAATGTCGTTGGCTTTGCTACCCATAATATGATGTTAAAGTGTAACTAAAATATAAGGTCTATCTAAGTAGATAAGTTCTTTAGTATGAACTCTAAATATTTATTGCCTGCCCCATTGCAATTCCAATAAACAATATCTAACACACTCATCATCGTGAAAGAATTAAAAAAGTCTATTTTCATAAATTACTTTTGGGTAAAAAACTCTCTAATTACACTCGATGTCAGGTGTCAAGTGATTATGTATCATCATTTATAAGTTTTATTAAGTAGTTGTACAATGTCCTCACACTCTTTATTATCTAGTAGCTAAGTATTCATAATGTAGGTGTCATATACAATTATAAAGTCGGTGACAACAAGGCTCTTCAGATGAATAAAAGAGAGTTGCTATATGATCTCATTAGAACACATCGAATACTAAATCATGCACTGATTTTAAATAAGAATTCATGTCAAAAGGGCACCGGGTGGAATGATGTGGACCGCCTAGATTGTGGTATAGACTAATTAACTTAATTTAAAATTAAATACATTTATTTTATGTAGTAGTTTAGTGTAAATATATGGATGTGATACAAATCAAATATATTAAATGATAGAGATTAATTATTTACAAATCAAATTTAAGTACCAATAATTAAAATATCAAACATAAATTTTCATTGACTTTTTCATTACTGTTTGGTACATTGAACACAGTATGTACCCATGATTTAAACTTATTATTATTTTTTTAAAACTAAGGAATAAGTATAATATAAGAAGTGTTAATTAGAGTTTAAATTTATTTTTTAAAAAAACATAAATATCTTAAACTCAATAAATATCATAGACAAAAAAATGTGTTATTAAGATACAAAATGATACTACAACTAAAAGTGTCAAATGTGATATGATATATTTATATATTATATCTTAATACTTTATTAATTATGATAATTGCATTAAAATTTTAAATGTATATGGTTGTAAGGCATGCGGATGCATTTAATGGAGAGAGGCACTTTTGTCTTTCAATTTTCTTTATGTCAGCATGATATGTTTATACATGTAACTGTACACAATAAATAAATACTTTTATAATTAAGATATAGCTAGTAGATTATTTATATGATTAATTTCCTATTATATATTTATATACACACACACACACATATGTATATATGTTCAAGTCCATCATTGTAGGCATGTAATTTTAATTTTAATTTTAATTTATAGTCCAAGGGAGAAGTATCTTAATTAATAGATCAGGAGATTTGGGCATTATCAACCAAATCAGATTTATACCATGGTGTGCTTGATTACTAACTTTTATAAATCAAACTAATTCGATATTAATTACAAATAATAATAAATGTAATGTCATATAAATTTTATATTATAAAATATATTTTATTATTTAAATAATATATAAATACTAATTATAATATAATTTTTTAATTAAAATATATAATCAAACTCAAATTCATAATTATTTATAATTAAAAAAAAAAAGTATTAACGATCCAATTAAAATTTTGCGGGAACAAATATTTTATTTTGTAGCTTAATTATTGAAAAAAAAAACAAATGTTTTCTGTATTCAGCTGATATTATCGTGTAGATATTTAATTGAAAGGGAACGTAGGCCAAAAACAATGATAAAGAATTGAAAGATGACTCCTAATTACGTGGCTTCATCAATTATATTAATATTGAATAATGTATATTCTTTTTTTTTATTTTTTTTTAATAAGAGTGTGTAATAAAAAAATCAAAATTTAAAAAGGCTATAAGTGGGGTACACGTGGCAGTGGCAGTGGTAGTGGCAGCCACGTCATCAAGAACCTGAGTCACTGGCAGCGAAGTGAGGTGGAGGTCAAGTCAACACTCTCGACAGCACAAAACTAGGGGACGCAAAGCACGTCCCGGCGTATGTTAGTGTGGCCGCCAGTAAAACCCGGATAAGACAGAGCCCCTTCGGACAATAAACTAATCCAAAAACCGGATAAGCATGGGCTATTCCGAACACTGCGTTAAAACCAGTTTTCTCCTCAGTTTTGACTCTGGCCACTCTCTCACAACCCATGCACCTCCGGAAATCACTGCCTGCCACGTGTCCATACGTGACAAAGTCATACAAGATCAGCGGTCACCGTTAAAAGTCTGAAACTATGTCCACCGTACGCACTGTAGTTTACCGCACATATATATTTCTGTCTCCGTAATTTATATACAACTCTGGGTTTAAGATCCCACGGGCTAGTCACCTTTGTAACCGCTATACAGAGACGGAGAGCGAAGAGAGAAGAAAGAAGAGATGGCGAGTATGCAGCAGATACGGATAATGAGGAGTGAGAGCTTGAAGCAGGAGAGTCCGAGGAGTGAGTTGTCGAGTCCAGAGGCAAAGCTTGGGATGCAGGTAGAGGATCTGTGGGATACACAGGAGCCGCAGCTAAGTCCTACTGATAAACTCAACGCTTGCTTTGAGAGTATTCCTGTCTCTGCTTTTCCTCCTGCTCCTTCTACTCAAGGTATTATATATGCGGTATATATGTATATATATATATATATATGTTTACTGTTGGTGGATGTTATACATTTTTATGTGCGCATCCGTTGATCGCGGAAGTTGATCGCATCTTGATCGTGATCTCTGGTAGAATTGGATGTTTTCAATTATACTTGTCAAAGAGATGATTCTTCAACTGTGGAAAAGGCGGACGGTTTTGCTTGTTTGTTCACTTTTGGCTTTTAATCCCGATGGCCTTCTGTTTGGTTTGAAGGAAAATTAACTTGTCTTTTGCTATTTGAATTTTACTCTCGCTTCTAGGGGTTAGGGCTGAACCAGGCAACAACAGATTACCTCCAATTGGTAAAGGTTTTTCGGGTGGACTTTGAGATTTCTCTTTACATTTTTCATTATTGATTAGGAACACAGACAGAGAATACAGTATATGTTGAAACGTCGTGTCATATCAACATCTTCATCAATATGATTTCCATGATTGAGAGATTTTGCATATCTTGATTTAGTTTAGCATCTTCATTTCATATTTCCATGCAAGTGTTCACTGTCTTTTTCGGTTCTCTTGGTTTTGCCATGATTTTTGGTTTGGGATCAATTATGTAGATATTTATGAATTCTTTTATCCAGAAATTGAGATCAAATCAGACACTAGTTTAGCTGAAGCTGTGAAAATACTAGCTGATCATAAAGTTTTAAGCGCGCCAATTGTGGATGTTGATGCTCCTGAAGATGCAAGTTGGATTGACAGATACATTGGCATTGTCGAGTTTGCAGGAATTGTTGTGTGGATTTTACATCAGGTTAGTTACTATTAGGGCTTTTCCAATGATCGAAGTGGTTTGTTTGCATTTCATATCTTTTTCCCTTTTTAGTTTTAAAGGGTTACTGTTTTAGAAAAGAAAGAAATATGATCACACATCATGAAAAAATGAAAAAAACAAGAGATAGCTTCCAATATAATCATGTTCTTGGTATTTTAACTTTTCTTTTTCAATTCATGCATGCTTGAGTGAAGACGTTGCCTTGCTACATGGTTGAAAGGTAAAATTGCCCATAATTTCCTCTGGATATCAGCCTTGCGATCCAAATATCGTAATTCTCAAGATTCTATTAATGTCTACGTGTCAAATAGTAAAGAATTTCTTTTTTGATGCTACAAATAGTAAAGAGTTAAAAGCTTCATTTTAGGTATATTGTTAAAAGGTTCACTTAACGTATATTATAAACATCACTTGTTTGTGGTTTGGTATTCTCTCAATTCGGGAAAAGTAAAAAGGAAACTCTTTATGTTCTTGACAGTCGGAATCTCCATCTCCGAGGAGTGCACATTCTGGAACTACTCTTGCAGTAGCAGCCAATGGAGTAACTAATGCTGTAGGACTTGGGAGTTTAGGTCCCGAAGATGCTGCAATAACGTCAGGAAGCTTTTTCGAGGCTCTAACTTCCTCTGAATACTACAAGAACACTAAGGTTGTACATGTGCTTGTCTGATTTGTTTTCCTGTAGTTTCTTCCTTTATCCAAAAAAATTATGTTTTTATGCTTCTAAATGACCTTTTAATTTCTAAACATGCAGGTTGGGGATATTTCGGGGTCATTCCGGTGGGCTCCTTTTCTTGCCTTGCAAAAATCTAACTCCTTTTTGACCATGCTATTGCTTCTTTCAAAGTACAAAATGAAGAGCATCCCGGTGGTGGATTTGGGTGAAAGAAAGATCGATAACATAATCACACAATCTGCTGTTATTCACATGTTGGCAGAATGCGCAGGGCTTCATTGGTTCGAGAGCTGGGGAAACAAAACACTTTACGAACTTGGTCTTCCTCTGATGTCAACCAATAGCATTGTAAAGGTGTGTGGTTGTTCCTAGTCAAAGAAGTTCCCATCTAGTTTCTTGGTTGTGATTTTGAACCCCTTCGTAAGTAGCAGGGACTATGATATTGTGTTACTGCAGTGTTCCCAAATTACCAGTTAATAACATTATTAGTCCCTTTTGCTACCCTCTTCAGGTCTAGAAACACATACTGTTGTAGTTTAAATGCGTTACCTGTTCATACTAACCCAGGAGCATGTCCTTGTATGATATCTTAGCCTTAAAATCGTGATAAGCGAAAAACCTACTTTCATTGCTCATATTCGGAATTTTGAAATTAATAGACTTGTCAGTCATTTCCTTTATAGAAGTTTCCCTTTTGAAGCAGGACAACTATTTTGGCAGGTGAGCATGTTAATTAATTCCCTCAACCGGTCACTTTCTATGTTTTAGGTGGACGAGGATGAGCCAGTGCTCCAGGCATTTAAGGTGATGAGGAAAAGGAGAATAGGAGGTGTACCAGTCATTGAAAAAGGTGGTAATAAGGCAATAGGTAATATAAGCCTACGAGATATTCAGTTCCTTCTTACTGCGCCAGAGATCTACCATGAATATAGGTTTGTGGATCAGTTTCAGTATTTAAATATGCTAGTTAATTGTTCACATTTCAACTAAGCTTTGCTAAAATAAGATTTTTCTCATGCATAGGTCCATCACAGCAAAGGACTTCTTGATGGCAGTTAGAAATCATCTAAAGAAGAATCACGAGGCATCACCACTGTTGAATGGTATGATAACATGCAAGAAGAGTGACACAATGAAAGAATTGATCATGACGTTAGACAGTGAGAAGATACACAGGATATACGTTGTGGATGATGATGGGAATCTGGAAGGGGTAATCACACTCAGAGATATAATATCAAGGCTAGTGCATGAACCTCGAGGATATTTTGGTGATTTCTTTGATGGTGTTTTGCCCTTGCCACAGAACAGCAGGGTTTAAAAGGTGTTGAGGATAAATAATGTTGTCCGTTTTCTGAAAATTTCCAGTGATTCTTGGTGTTGTCTGTTTGAAGTTGCAGTGGAATCTGGTTGGATACAGTAACTGTAACATATAGGCAAACTTCTTGTACTTACTCTTCTTCAGGTTCACACAGTTGAATCTCCTGTGTATATATTGATGATTGTCGAACTCAGTTTTACCCTTTTTTGTATCACAGGCTAATAAATATGAAAAGCCTTTCAACGTTTTTGTACCTGTGATACAAGGGTTGACGCCGGAAAGAAACCTAGCGTTTGTTCAGTTGGAGTCACCAGTTTAGATTTACTTACCGGATGATAAAAGAAATTATCTTCATTTTTCATGTGATAGGAAGTAGCTAAATAAGTAGTCGTACACTTGGAACTAAACATGATACTTACACTTCTTGGCATAATTCCAATCCTGCTTGTTATCTTATAACTTAGCAAGAGAAAATTCCAATGGAACGAGTTGTATTTTGTCACTTGGAGATTCCGTGTGGCATAACATAAGGTATTTGTCCTTGATTGCTAGCCAAGCATGAAGCTAAAGTGGTTAGACTTGGTGCCACAAGAAATTGTCAGTTCTTCTTAATGGACCACTAGTATTTACACTGACCCATTCTGTGATCAATCATAGACAAGGTCAAGGTTGTCCCTCCAAAAGCCAGATCGAGTTACGGGGGCCACTATTATTTGAAAAAGATGAACAACCGGCCCTACCGACTATTTCTTAAACACGTTTTGGATGGGCAGGACAGCACAGATCTTGAGCCGATGGCCTCTTTGTCTTTTTGTAACTTCCAGCAATTAGACACAACACGTTTTAATAGGCTCGAAACTGGGTCTGTTTTCAGCTAATTGTGATTTGGTAGTTACTACTATAATATAAGTATATATTGTTTTTATTCTTCTGTTGTTATACTTGAAAGCGCTTTCAGAATGTTGTGTCCTACGTTGTTGAGAGTGAACATATCAAGGCAGGAGGTAGGAAATGAGTTACTGCTTTTGGTCGGGCCTTTATCAGATTAGGAAGCTAATCTGATAAAATAACAACTAATCTATACTGGTCCTTTTGTGATCTTAAATGGGAAGATAAATTGTGATTGGTAGAGATTTCGAATAACGTAACGAAAGAACTCTCTCCCGTCGACTACTTCTTTGACACGCTCGTTGAAAACTCAACTTACCATTTTCAAATAAATTAATAATAAATTGCAGGTTAAATCTCCATATTCATTGGTGCGAAAGCCGACTGATCGAGTCAACTTGCAATTATTGAGGTCCTGAGGAAGTCTTGTGGTGGAGGCCTGATAGCAGATTAAAACAACCTTAACCATTTCAGCAGGTCAATTTTGTTTCATAGATTACAAGCCCAGTGCATGTAGAAACATTCAAACTTAAACATGCCAGAAAATACCTTGAGATGGGCAGATAATTCAACAGGTATGCTTTTTTAAAACATCAAACACAGAGTCACACTAACATTGAAATTTATCTTCAACCCGATGCTACTTTCCGCATTTAATAAGTCCGTTCAAACAATCACGCTGAAAATCTTTCATCTGGCTTCTTTATCTTTTCAAATTGGTAGATAAAGCAAATCTTTCATAAAAGTTAATGGTAATTGTATTATTTGAGAAATACTGAGGTTACTCTAATACGATGATAATGTACTTACTACATAGAAAGCTTGACTGTACAGTAACCTATATGCAAAGCTCCCTACTGATAGTTCAATTTCTTCTGAGGATAATCTGAAGAAAAATATTTCAATATTATAGACAGGGTAGACCAAGCAACGAACCTCCTCTCGTGTCAAAACTCAACAGCCTACTCCCAGCTTACCTCTGATAGCTGTCAATGGATGTCCTACAACAGACATACCATTACAAAAACATTGAGATTCCAGATGCTAACATTTGAAATTGATTTCCAAAACTTCAAAGGAAAGTAACTCATTCTATTTTCGTAACTGTTCCTACGAAAGTAGATGATTCCATTGGCTGAGGGCTAACACATTTACTTCTATGCAGTAGATGACAAGGAAACAAACACTGCCTGCAAACTGTAAGGTGTTTTGCTCTTCAGGCACCTCGAAAAGTTACACCGCGGAACGACTTGAAGCTTCTCTCAAGACAATTTCTGTGGCATTAATGAACAATAACAAAATCTTGTATAATACCCCACTTTCCCTAACCAATTGTGAAAATATTAATTCTTCAGCCTAGTTAAGTGATGCTGTCTGAAACACCTACTTCCAACTGGGGAAAAGTCCTTACTATCATCATTGAAGAACTATGGTTCAAAACTGAAAAAATGGGTGCCTTTTGCATGGTCTCAAAAAGGACAGTTAACATTTAATTGCATTCTTTAAGCTATGATTGGAAGAGAAAAGCAATTTAAATTCGTGTTTGAACATATGATGCAGCTCCAAAATAGGATAAATTCCAAATTTCATCAAAATTGGAGGAGCTAAATTAATGTAAATAGCCCAAAATCGGTGTAGAGCTAAAATAATGCCATTGATTTCCAAAAACAACCGAAAGTTACGAATTATTTCATGCTTTTAGATTTCTGCTCAAAAAGAAAATTAGTTTAGAGCTAAAATAATGTCATCAACCGTGCAATCAGTCTAAGTAGCAGAAAGACCAATTAGGCTTCACCAAGAAATCTAACCCAACTACTCTTCTTGTAACAACTAACATCTGGAATCTCATAGATGAAATTTATACCAATAGGATGCATATTGCAGGTTTCAAAAATGGCCCCAATGAAGGTAAATGAGAATCATTAACTATGAGCTCCATGGAATGAACTTAATCAAGATTTCATCAAGCAGATGCCTTCAGATGTTAATCACACAGAATTCTGGAAGTAAAGTTCAAACCTGTTCATCCATCTGCTTTACTGCCATAGAACACAGCACATCCCGAAAAATACGAGATTTCTCCTAGTTAACAGACTGAACTTAATCTACACTTATGACTGCAAATTCTTTGACAGAACAGACTGCTGATGCAAGCATGACACTTTCTAAAATTAGGAACTTATCCATAGGATGCGGTAAAATTATGATCACGGTATTGTTCCGATACTGAATTGATTTCCAAACATAAAATACATAACAAACGCCACGCGTATGAACTTTATAATCTATAGAACATGTACAGAAGTTAATACAGTATATAAAGAGGGGGACAGTTAACTTTCACAAAACCTGTGTCTATAACATTGACATCAACAGGATGAAAAACTAATCATCAGGATACATATATAGTGATCTGCTCCAACTAATCCCTGATGAGGAGTGCGTCTTACCTGTTAAAGCTCCTGTCTCCTATGAACTCTTTCTTCTAAGATGGTGAATAACACTGGGTGATCCTTCAAACAAATCCAATAAATAACTCTCTAAATCATCTGGTGTGTACTTAATGTACTTGCCAGCATGCCTTCCACTCTCCAGTTGACTCCCAAACCTTCCCATAAAGAATCTATATGCTGGAATCACGTTTTCTGATATTGATATCCGGAGTTCTTCGCGAAGCTGAGGATCTGGGACCTTCCAAGCTGTCTGAATTCTATATACCTCCTCAAAATTGGCATTAAAATTCTTAAACCTTTCTTTTAAGGCAACCCTGGAAGCATTACTGGAGCTACCGCCAAGCCCCTCATCCTTCAAACAAGACAGGGCCTTGCTCCAAGAGGCCCTAAGATAACTAGTGGCATACTTGCGTATCTGGCCACGCCGCTTACGAACCCAATGATCTCCCAAAAGCGTTCTAAGATCTGAATCCTTCACCTTCTGCACAATGTACAGAATATTATTCATTAAAAATATATACTGCATTGCAGCATCCTCGTACAATTTCGATTTCTCTTCAAGATTGGACTCCAAAGTTGATATCAACTTCAGCAATCGTTTTGCAAAAGAAGACGTGTCCTCCAGCTGCAAGTTTTCCTCAACATCATGTTGCAAATCCCTTCTTTCATCATCATCCTCATCGTCCAAAAGTGAGCTCAAAGTTTCACTGTAATCCACAAGCAACCTCACATAGTTCATGACATATCGCGTAAGAGGATGAATCTCTCCAGCTAGCATAGGTTTCTTTGAAGTCTCACTCTGCACATCATTCTCAAACTCCGCAAAAGTCCCCTTTGCGGCTTCTGCTAGTGCAGCCAGGACTCCCTTTGCCTCGCGGCAAACAAATTCATCAGTAACCATGGCCTGCAAATCAGGCAACACGTCAGCCAAGGCATCATACATGTCCAAAATCCTAAACAACTTCTCGGAAGATCTCCTTCCAATGGCAACAGCCTCTCCAAAATTCAGCAATTGCATCAGGCACCCCTTGGCCGTTTCATTAAAGCAAACCTCCTTTGATGTCTCCGACCCGTTAAAGATATGATCACAGAGCCTCCTTTCTCCACTCAAAAGGACCCTAACAGCGATCTTCATGGCCTGAATCCATTTCTTCATCTTTTCATCCAAAGTCTTCCAATTAATCCTCTGCAGCTCCTCGATACTTAGCTTCTCGACACCAAGGATCACCAAGCACTCGTCCAAAGCATCGCGCCTGACGTTACTATAAACCTGCACACACTCCTTCTCGTAGCCGGACCGGATCATACGATCCGCAATCTCCTTCAGGTCGGCAGCGGCCTCCCCGGTAATCAAGTCCACGCACAAGTCGTCTCCCAAGCTCCCTCCTCTCTCGTGGAAATGACCGCTCCTGTCATCCATCACCTCCTCGAAGCTTTCAAATTCCTCGTCTATTTCGCCCTCGTCGTTGGACACAAAGGAAAGCGACACCCTCCGGATCGATCCGTAGAGGCGATCAGCGTCCAGAGGGACAGTATTACGAATCAGAATGTGGCGAAACTCATCCTCCAGTCGGGACATAGCAAGCTGTACAGCGCTCTCGGCGCGGTCCATGAGGTCAGAGTCGTTCTGGACGGAGAAAACCTGGAACAGGTGAAGGATCTCGTCGACAGCGGAGAGGAATTGCGCGGCGTCTTCGGGCGAGTCGTCGAAGGAAGGTGGGGAGGGACGGCGGTGGGAGGAGGAATCAGAGGAAGCGGAGTCCCAGTGAAGGATAACTCTCTCGGCGGCCTCGAAACGCGCGACAGCATCGGCGGCGTCGGCATCTGCGTTTTTAACCAAATCGGTGATGTTTGAAAGACGGTTGTCAAAACTGGAGAAGATTAGGAGCATATCCTCGCGAACTTCCTTCGGAGTGTTGAGACTCTTGACGATCTGCTGAGCAGTGGCCAACACCCGGTCCTCGGCGCCCCCCGTGTTGATGCTGGTGGTGGTGGTGGTGGCGGCCATCGGAGTAGGGTTTATGATAGTGGGAGGGCGATCCGAACGGAGAGAAGGCGAGCAAGAAATGGAAATTGTAGTATGATTGAGGAGGGTTTTAAGAGATTAGAGTTGAAGTCATGTGAGAGAATGATTGAATTTGACGAAGAGAGGTGGTATCCAGGCGGGGACGGCTACTACGGCGGGTAATGGGGTTACAGTCCGCAGCTCAGACAGGTTCAAGGGTTTTGGGTTTGTGACACTGCGGTTTCCTACTCTTTATTTCTTGGTTGCTCTTTTGATTTTGGGCCCTGAAATGATTTTTATTTTTTTTTTCCATTTTTATATATTCTATCATTTGCATTCAAAATTAATAATAAAAATTAGAGATGTTGCAGGGAGCAGCGTTCGAACCGAGGAGCTGCAAGTTTTATTGAAGAAAATATGGTCGGTTGCGTCATCATCACAAATGACGTAGAATGATGTAACTGATTTTGAACGATTACCATACCATGTAATGAAAATGATAATAATTATAAATTGAAAAGTATATTATATATTATATTATGGGGTAGTTAGTTATTGTAAATTGACTGTCTACTTGTTAAGAAGGTTTATGAATGAGCAAAGAGCAAAATTGGATGCGGGCAATTGTCAACACACAACACTTTGTACCCACAAATCTGACCGCTTCCTCCTTTCTATTATCCATTTCTTTACAACCCCCCCCCCAACCCAACCCAAAATTACGGGGGTAACTCTTCATTTTTGCCTCACCTAACATGCTTCGGTTCATATTGTTGATATATATATATATATATATATATATGATACTTGTTACATATTAGATTCTAGCCTTCGAATACAAAAAGAGATGTCAAGCATGTCAATTTTGACTTTGATTTTTCTTTGTATTCAAACGACGTACCATGTGGAACTCTTATCCTTTCAATTCAAATTTTTTATGCTTACACATATGCATACGTACAAATATACCCATGTATTGAAAAAAAAAAAAAAAAAGAGTCATATATGACAAAGAAGCATTTTGCACATGTAACTTTCATGGTTGGAGAATTAATTAATTCGTGTTTGTGGTGTTTGATTGCTTCCAAGTCTATTATTTTTGTCTAAATAAATTTTTATGTGTTTGATAACATGTCATGATAAAATTTAATTTCTTACGATATAAATTAGTTCAATCAAAAAAATCGATAGATTAATATTTATTAATCCATGTTAGAGACCAAGATGGACTTAATGACAGACAAAAAAAATGAAGATTCCAAGAAAAGAAAACGATAAATAACTACACCACTAAATTAGAAGAAGAGAGTGACGAAGGAGATTTGAGATGAAATGAATTAGGAAATTTAGTACCAAAAATGGTTGATTCAACCTTGTATTTATTTATTTATAATAAAAAATTAAATTTTGTTACATTCACATATTATATTATTGAATACCTGATATTTGAATCTACGATAACATTTCTACTAATGTCATTAATATTTAAAAACTGAAATAATTTTTTTTAAAAAAATACAAATATTAAAATAATTAAAAAAATACTACCCACTTTAAATATTTTAAAATAATATTTTAACACTAAGAAAAAATTTATGGTACTGAGACAGTTGGATCCTTCAAGAAGACCTTAACATTATGATAACTCCTGCAGGTTCCGTACCATATATATATATATATGTGTGTATACATGATGTCAACTACCAACCTCTGATTCCTAGCCCTGGTATACTTCAAATCCTTGATTTAAACCAGACTCTAACATCTAGATCTTAAATGTTTAGATTATAATATTATGAACATATAAAAACTAAAAAACAAAAATATCCAATTTGACCGGTCAAGTAGTCCGCTCGAACTAATTAATAACAGAGAGCAAAAAGAAAATACAAAACAGAACGACGCCGTTTTAATACAGAGTGACGCCAACAATTTACCAGTCTGGTGATGTCTGTCTAGTCTTCTTTTTCTTCCTCGGTAAAAAGTCCACCTTCCGGTCGTTAAGCTGTCTGTCAAATAGAAATGAAACAGAATAATAGATTACTTCCACTGAACAAGATCATGATAATCTCAGACTTCAAATTTTTCTTCGTTGATAAAAAAAATCTACTCTCCGGTTGTTAAGGTGTCTGTCAAAGAGAAATGAAACACAGTAAAAGACAACTTCCACTAAACAAGATGATAAGAATCTTGAACTTGGAAATATGATGAAAACACACAATGTCCTTTAATCAGCAGGCAACCCATAAAAGTTTGTCGCTTCATCCACCCAACTCCTTTTAGAAATAACAATCTAATTTAACAACTGACTGCAAGGAAATTGTCTCACACAAATAACAAATTCCTCATCCGAAAGTCTCGCCTTTTGGAATAGAAAGTAGATTGACCCAATCTGAAAAGTTTGACAAAGATCAACGTATTCAAAGTTATTACAGGAAATAAATGGAGTCAAATCAGCATCATTTTCCACCAGAAACTACCATCTCAGACGCAACAAGTGCTTTGACAAGGACAAAGAAAGAGACTTGCAACTTCCTTAGTATTGACAAAGCTTTCAATACCAAATAATCTAACATATGTATTCATATTCATACAAAAATATGTACCTAAACACCATTCTCTTAATCTCAACAGTATGCATTTCCATTGTTGGTCATCTAACCTACAAGAAAACAAAAGAAGGATCCAGCTTACATATTGATTTCAAGTTCAACTACATCAAGTTTCTCCATGTAGCTCAAAAAAGGCTATTGTTTAGAATTCATCTCACTTGGATCTGCAAATAAAAAAATTTGTAAACAGCTAAAATCTACCAAATAAATAAGTATTCTCACTCCATATAGCCAAAGAACTCCGTAAGCTCTATTTGCAGTTTGGGAACCATTGACTTCCTGTCACATAGTTTTTCACACAAAAAGCACTGTACTCGTTTTGAATTTATGGCAGAGTGTGTATATATATATCCCAGCATCAACAAAGAGGAAAGCTAAAACCTGTGATCATTTGGGTGCTTCTCAAATTACTGCCTTGAGAACAAAGCACTTCTATTTTTGTCTTTTTTGCAACATCAGCTGCCCATGCCCGGCCAACTTCTATTGCTATCAATAATCTCGCTACCATTCATGCATATTTCCATCACTACTCTTACAGCACAATTAGTTCAGACAGAAATATGTTAATAATATAATAACTCATACATAACAAAGACTTATTATACTGCTTGGTTAGTTGAATTAGAATTACTTTGTAATTTTGATGACTGGAAAAGTTGTACTCCTGTAATTACTAATTTTACTTTAAAGATTATTGTGTCCTTATTCACCAATGTGAGATTTAATTATTTGATTAATACTATTTTAAATTTAAATATATGAGAAACTTATAATTATAATATGGTTTGATATTTGAAATTTTTTTAATTGATTGGAGATTTTTTTTTTAAACTTTTTAAAATTGAGCAAAAAGAAAAAAAAAAAAGAATAACTTAAACCATTAAAAGTTTTTTTAGAATAGTCTACATGAAATTTTATAATTTTATGAAATCAAAATAATATAAAACAAAAGTAAAATATAATATATACAATTCTATTAATTAAAATAATTACATGAGATTTGATTAATATATCATGTAATAAAATAAATTTCAATTAATATATACATACAATATAATATATTTTTAAATAAATGTTATAAAATAAGGCTATTACACTTATTAATATTGTTGAATCAAACATTGTAATGAGTTATTATTGATTGTAAACCAAATAATATAAAGTAATTACAATTCCATTGCAATATTACCTCATTGTGGTGCCATTCTAAATTGTATTTCATTCGAAAAACCAAAACCGCCACTATTAATTAAAAGTACAATCAGAAGTTGCATTCATATTGTCATCATTTTAATCTTTTCCTTGTCTCATTACTTCTGCTACTTAGTAGTGCTATTTGGATTCATCTATTTTTAGCTATAGATTTTAGTTTCCTTACATCACAGTTCACAAGGAATGGCGAACATATATAACACAAGATAAATTGAATACTTCAAGGTGAAATGTTTCCTAAATCTGGTGCACTGCTATATATATATATATATATATATCACTAAGAAAGACCAGATATGAGAAAATGAACTTTAAGATACAACTCTTAGTTGTCATGCAAGGACATTCAAAATAGTTAAATTAACCCTTTGGCACCTTTCCCCTTTTCCCAATCTAGCAGGCTAACTTCTGACTATGCTAACCAAGTCACTAAGCAAGATAGCATATCAACGAAATCTAGATTAGAAGAGAATCTGATACCAAGCTAACCATTTTGTTTTGAGGCAAACTGGTAAATCATGCTGCATTCATTTCCTGGGACCTGTTAGATGCTTCACCCTGAGAAAACGAGAGAAAATGTTGAAATGCAGGAAAATTAGGCAACAAATGGAAATAAAAAAGCTTCAAGCATAGCTCTAACCGGGTCAGACAAATGATCTCTCATGCTGTACATGGATCTTAACATTGTTTCCATAGTATCTTTAGCTAATTGGAACTTCACTTCCAACTCCCCTGGATGAGCCCGATCATCCTTTTGAAGCTGCACAAGAATTACTTACCATTAATAAGTGCCAAAAGGGAGAACAAGAAGAAGAAAAACATTACACATTCTGACAATTTGAAATTAGTTCGCACTTGAATAATGTTTTCCCATCGTTCTTTTCCTAAACTAATTCAGATGGGGATTAAAATTGGGCATAAGATAACAAGGCACTGATAATAAGAAGTACCTTCAAATTGATAACAGCCACAGGGTCCGTAGCCTCTGCCTCTGGGTTTGCCATATTCCATGTCATTTCCTTCAAGCGGGGAAGTGTAACCTGGACATTATCATCCAAACGATAACTAAGGGAATCATGAATTGCACCTAGAGAGAGAGAAAAAGAAAAAGAAATAGCACTTGAATTCCAGATCAATGGCGGTGAGGCTACTAACACAGAAGCTGTTTAATCTTAAATGACTTGAGAAAACTAAAATTTTCAAACGAATTCCCGGAATTTGTTCCAGTCATACCCTAAGAGTACTAAAGAACACCGGTTGCTTCTGTACAGAACAAGGAAGTCTCACCTGATTCTTGAACACGTCATCTCGCCATTCTTTTTGGAACTTTTGGAGCAGAAGTGTCAACAATCTCTGCAATTCGGGCAGGACCTCATCGGGGAACAGCTTATGAATCTCGTCCTTACTGATATCCTCATAAACGCACCTACGTATCAACATCCGGAGGCAAACCAAGAGCTGCAAAGACCAGACGCATGAATACCACCAAATCAGGTCCATTAACAACAAAGACTAATTTATGCCTATGAGGACAACGGGTTATGGGATGTTAGAAGCATAAATAGAACAGATTACAGGGTCAAAGTCGGAGTCATTTTGGAGCTGGAGCATGTCGCGAAGAAGGTGGCGGTCGGCGGCATCGAGACCGGTCTTTCGAGTCCTCCAGAGAGCTTGAAGAATGAACTCCACCGATTCTTTGGAGTTTGCTCTCACAAGTAATGGCAAATGTCCCCACAGGGTTTGCTCCATCTGATCGAAGTCGAGTGCCGTAAAGAGCCCTTGGAGATTGAAAATGGATACGACTGACGGTTGAGTTAAGAGAGTTTTAGTTTTCTTCTCGACTAATTTAGCTTATTATTAACGTATTAAAAGTGTCAAAAATTATGTTTAAATAGGATAAACTTACTTCAACTCATTTAAATCCGATTTAGTGATAAAATAACTTAAAAATCCATTAGTACATATATATATAAATGCCCATATGGAAATATAACGCAATTCATATCTTATTATAATTATAATTAGATAAATTTAATATATATGTTAAGCAAGTTAGTTCAAAATTTTAACTAGATAGCTCGGTTAATGTTTTTATGATGAGTAGGTTAAGACGTTTCTAAATAAGTTGAATATTCGACACAAATAAATTATGTATAAATTATCAAGTGCGTGTATAATTAAAGATCGTAATAACTTTTTATTATGTATTGACACGGCTTGTTTAAATACAAGGAATACATACTATGTTATTGAGAAAACAATGTGTTACATTTAGGATTTGACTGAAAGCATTTTAA